GAGGGGCGTGGTGGCGGCGAGCTGTCGGCCGGCCAGCCACCACTGTACCTGGGGCTCTGGGGACGCTCCCACCACACGACACCTGAAGGAGGTCTGCTGGCCCCCGCTCACCCACTCCCCAGGGGCCTCCAGCCTCACCTCCAGCGGCGGCACTGTAGGCGGGAGAGACGGAGGGAGATGTGAATATTATGGTTTACCCTGCTGTTGATCACATATACAATGTCGTCATTAGAGAAAGAAAACGGGCAGAGAAAGAGACATTGGCAGAGAAAGAAAACGGGCAGGGAAAGAGTAAACAACGTAAGGTACTCTAAAAAAATATAATAAATATATAGTCAATAAAATAATATGAAGGGAACAATACAAATAACATACCATTAGAATACACACAGAGTAATCACACCAACGTGATGTGTCAATGAGAAAATCCTTAAGATCCGTGATGAGGGCTCGAACCTATGCGGTGGGTGTTGCCACGTACAGGCCCTGGTCAACCAGGCTACGACAAGATATAAGGACTGCTACCTCGAGTTCCACTGAACACACAAGAGTTTCCTGAGGCTTCTAATGAAGCCTGACGAGGATTTTCCCACAATACCCCCCACCCACCCATGCACTTTGGCTCTGTTATCTACGAATGTTCTCCCTCTGAAATGGGTGCGTGGGAACACCCACCACATGGGTTCGAACCCTCATGACGGCTCCTACGGATTATAACATTAGTATACCAATGGAAGGATGTTTTTGCTCTACAGAATGTTGTGGAAAAATAAAAGTATGCGTCGTTTATATATCAAAATACTTGCTGATCTAGTGATACCCGCTGATATTATTTCATAAGACCGTATTTCTGTATAGAGCGGAAATATCTATTGCCAAAGTGTTCCAAAAAGGTACTTCGATATATCGGCTCCTTATGATCACACTGCTCACGACATTTAAGTGCCAAACCACTTGGGGTGGACGGTAGAGCGACGGTCTCGCTTTATGCAGGTCGGCGCTCAATCCCCGACCGTCCAAGTGGTTGGGCACCATTTCTTCCCCCCGTCTCATCCCAAATTTTTATCCTGATCCCTTCCTTGTGCTATATAGTCGTAAGGGCTTGGCGCTTTCTCCAGATAATTCCCTTCCTACCTAAATATGGTACAGGATGTATGTTAATATACATAATAGACATGATTATAACAATAACTACCATGTAGTTCACTTAGTCAAAGAAGAAGAAAAGGCCTGCAATGTATATAAGTAAAATATATATGTAAAAGGCCTATAACACTCAATAAACCCAAAAAAGGTTACATTAACCTCTTAGCTGACTGCATGTGCAGCCTAATGAGCATATAAGCCACTTAACAAATCGTTGCCCAAGATCTCAACATATCCAGCACCCCAGGTAAGGTTATTATGAAGAGAAAGCATTAAGTCAGCAAGACTTCGAATCTCTAGGACGGGATATACGGAGATGACGCAATGATATGAGAACGAAATGTGAGGAATGGTTCCTAACCATTTGGACGATGGAGTATCGAACGCTGACCCCTGTTCGACGCAAGGTAGTCGCTTTTCAGACCATTCGAAGTCGACTGGCCCGAAAAGGGAAAAATCCATAGACCGTCGGGCAGAAGAGGCAAGAAACACAGCAGTTGTGAGGTGTGTTGACCTTAATTGACACTCAATGGAAAATCATGGAAGTAATGGGCGTCTCTCTCACACCACGTGCAAGGTATGGATATGGGTGAAGTGAGACTGGGGATGGAATAGCTCTGGTGAAATAGGTGCATATCTATCCATTGGGGGGGGGGGGATGGGGGAAGGGCGGGTGGTATCATCTGGAGAACACTTGAGTGGTTGATGTGTGATGATCCAGCTGCTCTTCCTGGGAGAAGTGTAAGATGGAAGAGTTATCAAGTCATTTTGCTGAGGTGTTGTGAGTGTTGTTGACTCTCTTCATACTATTGTGGGGATATGGCATGTGCTATCATGTGTACATGAGACATTGTGATATCATGTGTACATGAGACACTGTGCTATCATGTGTACGTGAGACACTGTGCTATCATGTGTACATGAGACACTGTGCTATCATGTGTACGTGAGACACTGTGCTATCATGTGTACATGAGACGCTGTGCTATCATGTGTACATGATACACTGTGCTATCATGTGTACACGAGACACTGTGCTACCATGTGTACATAAGACACCGTGCTATCATGTGTATATGAGACACTGTGCTGTCATGTTATAAGTACATAAAACACCGTACTACTAAATGTATATGAGACATTGTGCTATCATATGTACGTGATACACTGCGTTGTATAGTGTACATGAGACATTATGCTATCATGTGTACATGAGACATTGTGCTATCGTATGTACATGAGATACTATACTATCATGTGTTCATAATACGCCGTGCTATCATGTGTATATGAGACATTGTGCTATCATATATACCTGAGACACTGTGCTATCATGAGTACATGAGACACCATGCTATCGTGTGTACATGAGACATTGTGCTATCACGTGTGTATATGAGACATTGTGCTATCATGTGTAAATAAGACACCGTGTTATCATGTTTACATGAGACATTGTGCTATCATATGTACATGATACACTGCTATCTTGTGTACATGAGAAATTGTGCTATTATTTGTACATAGTACATTGTCTAACTCCCAGGTACCTATTTACTGATAGGTGAACAAACTCATCAGGGTGAAAGAAACTCTGCCCATTTGTTTGCGCTCTCCGCTCAGCCGTTCGGGCACCAAGTTCATCCATGAGAGCTTCAAGTTTTCTTAATAGGCGCCTCAAGTTCCATCCATAATTGTATTTAGTCAACAAATCTCATTGTGTAGGAGTAGGAATCTTCAGACTGGTGTTAACTGACAGTAAGATAGATGTCTCACAGTTCTAATTAACAAACTAGATTTTCCCCCAGAACAATGCATGCTAGACAGCTGGCTACCTGGTGTCCAATTACTGTTTAACGAACAGGGTAAATGGTGGAGGAACAGTTCACCAGCAGTCCAACCATATCTTGGGGCCCAATCCCGGTTCTTCTGTTTACAGGGGAATCTTTACCCTCGTTGGTGTAGCCAGAGTAACTTCCCCTCACACAGCTGAAAAAGTCGTAGCAAATTACCTAGACAAAAATACGACTGCGAACCGTAAACATGACAGCAAATGGACTCGGAAAGCCGGATTTTTTTTGAGGGAATAAAAATTTAGAAGAAAAAATTAAAGTCCGTAATCCCAGTATTCTAAAAAAAAAATCAATTTACGTTGAGAAAATACAGTTACTGTAATTGACGCGTAAATCCTGCTACTGACGGTCGGGAAAATTGTGAAGGATAAAATGGGAATGAGTCTAACGAGAGGGAGGGAGTCGGATGGAGCAAGAAGACGTCTGGACAACGAGAGGGAGGGAGTCGGATGGAGCAAGAAGACGTCTGGGCAACGAAAGGGAGAGAGTAGGAGGGAGCCAGCAGACGTCTGGACGTTGGACAAGGAGGGGGAGGGAGTAGGAGGGAGCCAGCAGACGTCTGGACAGTGGGCAAGGAGAGAGAGGGAGCCAGCAGACGTCTGGACAACGAGACAGGAAGAGCCTTCATAACAGGTGTAAGAAAAACCTATAAATTATTCATATTGATTTCCAAATGACATGACTGATAATGGTTAGCCTGCTAGGCCTGAGCCTAGCAGGGAGGCTGAGCCTAGCAGGGAGGCTGTGCCTAGCAGGGAGGCTGAGCCTTGCAGGGAGGCTGAGTGTAGCAGAGAGGCTGAGTGTAGCAGATAGGCTGAGCCTAGCAGGGAGGTTGAGTGTAGCGGGGAGGCTGTTTTGGAAATTTCCAACAGTTATTCTCATCCCCTAATACAACAGGATGTATTTCTTATATTAGGCTTCATACACATCTAATATTCATTTACTAATCCTTAATACAACAGGATGTATTTCCAGTATTAAGCGTAATAATTAACTAACACTACTAATATGTAGCTTAGTATTGTGGAATTTACTGTATTAGGTTGTGGAACATCATGTAATTTCTCCTAGAATTCTGTAGTGTTGCGTCAGCCACTCACGGAGACTAAATTTCCACATACCAGTAGATTTATACAAGTGTAACCATTTACTTTCCCTTATTAGGAATAATTGTTTAGTAATAGGTTTACTTTTAGTATACAATAGTTTACTGGAATTTCTTTACCCAGCTTAATCGCTGTTCCAGTAAATAATATCATAATCTAACATCATTTCCGCCACCAAGCAAGTATTGTTTTATTTGTGTAGTCTACACTAACTGACGTGCACTGTGAGAATCAAACATCACCACATAAATTATAAAGAGTGTTCATAAATTCCCCTTTCCCTATTTAGCTTTAATAAATAAATATAATTTATGCTCGAACCCTCACGGTGAGCTAATACGCATGCGCGACTTTCGGGAAGGAGGAGAGAGAACTCTCGCCATATTAGATCAACAAGGGACATGGTGCTCCGAAGCGGTCCAACAAATCTTACCAGCCAGACGGCATCATAACATTCCTAGACGCTTGACTGAGGGCGCAGCTTACCAGAATCACGGACACCAGTTCGGCAGGCATTTATACCTCTTAGTTTAATTTATTGAGCTCAAGGATTAACTAATATAGGTGGCCATGTCGTGACGCTGTGGGCATACCAAATATTCCCTCGTGAGTGCAACTCCTTTCCCTCCAAATAGTTAGATATTACCTTATATGTGTGTGAATACTAGTTTGGGGTGGAAATTACGGAATTATCATTAATGCAGCATGGTGCAACACCCCTGAGGAAGCGTGTGACCGCCATACCCTCACGTTTTCCTAGTATCACTATCTCAAACCTGTTTCCAGACTGGCGTAGAGTGGACTGCATCTACGTCCCTCTGTCACAGCTGAGATTTAATCAGTTTTCATTATAATAGTACCTTATTATTCAGAGTCCATATATATATATATATATATATATATATATATATATATATATATATATTATATATATATATATATATATATATATATATATATATATATATATATATATATATATATATATATATATATATATATGTCGTACCTAATAGCCAGAACGCACTTCTCAGCCTACTATTCAAG